TTTTAAATGGTACGCAAACTTATCCTATCACATTTAAAGCTCCTGGAGCAACTCATCATGCGAGATGGATGTCCTAGGCCATCTATTGCCTCAAAATGTACATGTTCCAAAATCAATTTAATGTTGGTAGTAAAAAGATTTACTTGGATTAGGTGACGTTAGTAGTTTTATAAGTAGTGTTTATGTGAAAGCATGGTTTGAAACTCCTAGTCCGATAAAGGCTCCAGTTCAAGACTTAAATTTTCTGAAAAATTTAATCAACTATAAAAATATCAATGAAATGATTTCAAATGCTTCTGTATTAACATTTTCGCGACACTTATGGTACCTCACAGAAATACTTGCAGCAATGTCTTTTTTTGATTTTAGTATAAGCTTGGAAATGAAAAAGAAAATGATTAATGATAAGAAAAAAACTAAAACACAACTTGACATGATTTGCTCGAAAGGCATCAGTGATTTTATCATAAAAAGATCGTTAGATTTTTTTAAGCGGCTGGAGTTATCACCGGAGTTTTTAAATATTGAGCCGCAACATTGGGCAGAAGATGATTCTTACAAATCGTGTTCCGATATTGTTAAAAACATCAAATGTGTTAATGAAACAAAAAATGAGGAACAAAAATAATTCATCTTACAAGAAGTGCAATTACATCGTCAGCAATATGTTAATTGTAATAAATTAAATTTCATTAAGAACTAATTAGTTGTCAACAAGAGTGTATAAATGATTTAAATTGCAATAAAAAATTAATTATTAAACACAATAGGTTTTCTTCTGACAAATCTAGATTATTTACGATATTTTTAACTACATATTTTATATTATTTAAATTTAAATTTTTGTTAAATATAAACATTTTTAGTCAAGAAACATTAAAACTGAATATTTTGATTTTTTTCACTTTTCAAAACTTTCAAATATACGAATTTTTGAATTGAAAAAAATAATTCTGGGATAGACTTTTTTAGGAAATTTTATGCTCTACAAGAATCGCGACGTAAAATTTTTTATCCTAAACGGAAAAATAATAATAATAATAATGAGAAACTTTGAATGCTCACCGACACCTTTAAAAATTGAGCAAAAAATCCTGTCTGGCAGGGAAATTTTTTTCTCGGTATATAGGTTCATTTTAACCCATCAATTCGATAGGTTAGTTTTTTAGCTCACCCTAGTGTGTCTCAAATACACAACCTAGATTTAAAAGACTAATATTTAGTTTTATGTTTCGTTTGATAACTAATTGTTAACAAAGTGGTGTTTTTGTCTTATTTTGGAAATTTCCGGCGACCCCTCTAGTACCTCATTGGGATTGGGACCCACACTTGGGGAAACATTGCATTATTGGAAACCAACCAATCGTAATATATCTGACTTATTTTTTTTTCTTAACTACGATTTCTTAATTTTATCGTCATACTTAAGAATTGAATAAAATGTAACATTGTCCCTATCCAATTTTCTTTAATAAATTATTACGGATTTATGCACGATACGGTATTGTTCTTTAAAATTGATAATTCAATGGATATTTTTGGTGAGATCGCTCATACCGAACAGTAGTTTTCATTTATTATCAGAACTAATGGCAGTATACTGAAATTATAGAAAATAGACGTATTGAACTCTCTGAACCGTTTCTATCCGACATTCTTGCCCATCCACGACTTATTATTAATTATATAGCAATTTACAGAGATATTATATAAAAACATTATGCGATTTATACAAAATTGAATACAGTTGATGCTTTTCCTAATGTACGTTGTGCAAAAGTTATTGCTCTAATTAATAGCAATTTTTATTTATTTCATTCAATTTAAGTTATGCAATTTTTAAAAGTAACTTGTTAAAATTTTAATCGTTCCACGAATATATCGAAATAGTAATTCACGTTTTCACCATACTGTACTACATTTTTACCCCGTTTCGCATTTTGATTTGTCTATGAAATATACCGACACATATAACACAAAGAATGTAAATAAAAAACAGAATGGCATATTGAAAAATAATAAGAGTGGTAATACTAATATGGCGTTGTTGAAGGGTGTATACGGAAATTGCGCGTACAATTGATGTATCTAATGTAATTGGTATTTAAGGCAATGTAACAAATTTTTAATTAAATAGTTCTAATTTTACTATTTCAAGATTCAAGAGTGATTGATCAGATGACCATTAGACAAAATCCTGGTAATTGTACATGTAATTACTATTAAAAATAAAAAACAATGTAAAATCAGTAGAAACGAAATTTATCTGGGCCACTTTTGATATAATTACTTCTTTTTTAAAACTTTTAAAATTGGTTAATTCTTTTTTTTTTACATTAAAGATTTTTGGGCCGAAGAATAGAAATGAGTTTTGGGTCGCTGTTTTACTAAAAAATTCAACAAAAATATTTAAATTTGACCGATTATCTTTAGTTTGTTTTATTTGTGTATAAGATTTTTTTTTAGGATTAAATTTTGTGCAATTTGTAAATTATTTAATGCTGTTTTGTAAGCTGCGCCCCATGCTGGGATACAGTATCTTATAATAGATTCCACTAGTGAGGTGTATAATATTATTAAAAATTTTTGAGACAAAATGTCGCCTAATTCATATAGAATGCATTAAAAGTCGTAGTCGTCTATTAACATAACCAATATGATCCTTCCACTTTAAATGCTGGTCAAGTAATACCCCAAGATTTTATATAGAGTCTGTTTGCTCTATGTATTGACAATTAATTTATATTAAGAGGTTCATCTCGAGTAGTGGGAGGGAAGGTCATATACCTAGTTTTGCTAATATTTAATGATAACATGTTATTATTTAGCCAAGTATGCGTTATTTCAGATACGATTCGGTGGTCCTTGCGACACCCTCCCATGTGGAACGAGTAAAGATAAGTGCAGTATCATCTGCATAACATATAATATGATCTTTAAAATTGTTTATTTTAGTTATACTGTTTAGGTATATGAGAAACAATATTGGTCCTAAAACAGTACCTTGGAGTGGGTATCCCGGTTTGTACTACTAAATCTGAGCTCATTTCTTGGCCAATTTTTACTCGTTGCATTCTTTGTGTTAGATAGTTTTCCATTAGGTCTGAAGCAATACCTCGAATACCATAATTAGTTTTTTTATCACAGTATTGAAGGCCTTGGCCAGATCCAAAAATACTGCCAAGCATTTTGTTGAACTGTCCAAGGCTCTCACAGTAGTATTAACAAAATCCATTATGGCGTTCTCGGTATTAGAGTTTTTTACAAAGCCAAATTGCCTATCAGTAATTACATGGTGCTTGTCCCAGGATTCAATGAGTCTTTTCTTGATGCACTGTTCAAATATATTAGCATGCTTATTTATAACAGATATTGGGGTCTATTCTGTAAAAATTCCTTTATATTTTCTTCTTTACTTCTGTCATTATTTAAACGGATCTTTAAAATACATTAGAGTACTATCTTAAAGAAATCTGTTTAAATAATGACAGAGGTAAATTAACGAATACAAATATACTTTTAAAGGACGCCAATATTTTTAAAGGCCGTTCAATATAAAGGAATTTTTACAGAATAGACCCCATAGGCCTGTAGTTAGTTATTTGAGAATTTTTACCTGATTTTAAGATAGGAGTGACATATGAAACTTTCCATTGGTGAGGTACCAAGCCAATTAGAAAACAAAGGTTTATAATGTGTATTAACGGTTCTAATATATAGGTATGTATAGTTTTTAAAGTTTCTGTCGTTATTTTATCAGATCCGGGCGCAGAATTATTTTTTTAATTTTGAAATAATTATCACCAATTCTGTTTTTGTCACGGGTTTAAGGAAGATTGAATGTTTTATTTCATTATCTAATAGAAAGTTTTCTGGTAAGTTTGTTTTAGGAATTTTGCTTCTCATATTTTCACCTATATTTACAAAAAACCTTAAATTCATTTGATTTTTGTTTCTGATCAGTTATAGTTGTAGCGTTTTCCGTAATTACATTATTGTGTTTAAAGCTTTTCTTTTCCTTTTCTCCGCTTATATCGTTTATTATATTCCAGATTTTTTTATCATTTGACCCTGACTCATTAATTTTATTTTTATAATATTCGTTTTTTGTATATTTTAATAGAGAGTTAATTTTATTTCTGTATTTTTCATATTCTTCTTCTAGTTCTGCTGAATAAGTTTTAAGTAGTTTCTCTTTTAATTTATCTCGTTTATTTATAGAGTTGACAAGACCTGTAGTAATCCATGGTTTTATTTTAAAATATTTTTTATTTCATGTACGCTTGTTGATGACGTTATATATAGTTTAAAAGTTTATCAATAAATGTGTTGCAACATTCCTAAGGGGTTGTTTTTTAATAGAACAAATTGATAGAACAACAGATTGATGGAATACATTCAGTAAATAGTGAAACAATTTAAAAATAGTAGTACCCTGTACTGGTGTTACTTTGATAGCGGCAGATTACTTTGATCACAACTTCACTTGTGGATTTATCCACTTCTACCATTTTAATATCACTGCGTTTGTAAACTTCGAATTCTTTCTGTGGCAGTTACTATAGTCCAGGACTGTTAAACACAAAAAATAGAAGATTTCTTTCTATTAGTTTAAAATTTATTTTAAATATGAAATATGGTCCAACGTAGTAATTTTTATGTTAAAAATACAAACTAAATTTAAAAAACACTCTTTAAGTATCCGAGATAGTATCGCGCGAAGGTCTGGGACAGGTGCGATTTCTACTACCCAAGTTATATCATACAGATTGAACAAAAGGCACAAGATATTCGTTAGATTCGGAAACGGTCTTTCCTGCTCTAAACCTTACGTATTAAGATCAGTACAGAAATAAGAAATAAAACCCACCTTGATTTTCTGATTAAATTAATTATTCGAAAAAAAAAAAAAATTAAATATACAAACAATTGAATTCGGATATATCTACGATCTATTTATTGCAATTTCAAAATACCACACCTATGGCGGCGACAGACAACAATAGAATGCAGTCGAGTGCACGTTGACTCGCCGTGTGGATAACATTGCCGTGGTCGTGCACCAGCACAAGCTCTGGGCTCCCACCACTAGGAGGTGAACTGGCGAGGCAAGTTGCCGTTGATTTTTGATAGTGCAGTTGATGCTGAAACGCAGGGCTCATGAAAACTAGTGAGATTTAAAAGGGTATTAGTTCATTTTTTGCCGAAAACTTTCGGTAGTTTTTGGACAAATCACGAATTCGAAAAGGGGTTTCAAGAAAATTTTGTGTTTTTAATTTAATTTGGTGTTTGTGGTTAGTGTGAATTAAAGAGGATTATTTATGTTGTCCATTAGGAGGATTTTACTAATACGACAAAGTAAGAATGATTTTGGATAATAAATGACATTTTAAAAATATTTTATTTTTTCATTATTGATTTGTATGAAGATTATGTGGATGATGTTTCAGTTAATATTGTCCATTAATTATTAAACGTATATAAATATAAAAATTTATTTATATTGATAATGATATTAAAATTGTTTTAGAGAAAAAACGATACGTCTAATAATGAAGTAAAAATAATATCCATGTCTTTTATTCAGAAATTACAAAATTTTTCGAAAACAAAATTCACTGTGTATTTTTAATATAGAATTATCTCTATTAGGGTTTAAAAGAAAAAATATTAGTACAAGGATCGAATTTCGCCTATTATTTTTCGACTAAACTTCATAATATGAGTAATATATCTTATGTACCTTTCTTATTATTTTTTAAATGTTTAAATACAGATGCCGATCATCAGAGTTTATAATATAATTTGAATATTTTTAAATAAAGCTAAATACATTTAATTACTATTTATAAAATTATTAATTTGCTAAATTCATAAAGTAATAAAATATTTCAAAATATCTATTGAAAATTATATACGAAGACGATGCAATCAAAATGTTTCCTGGTTATATTAGTTGTCTTAATATTGTTATTAGTGTATTAATTGCTGAAACACTTGCATAAACCAGCCATTTTTAGAAAATGATGAAGAACTTCATATTTTTTGTAAAAAAACCAACGAGTTCAAGTTATGGGAACACAACGAATAAGTAATAATTTCGTACAACTTTGGTGTGCTATATATCGAGAAAGTCTCACTGATTTATATTCTAAAAATCCTAAAAAAACGTTCAGATTTTCTTAGCATACAAATGAGCCAATAACTTATCATTTACAATTCCTCACCATACGTTTAAACTAAATAAAGTATGGCTTTTTGATAGAAGCTTCTGTCACGGTTTTTTTTTTAGTTTAATCTTATGTATCCAGTAAACAAGTCACTGAAATTGTATATTTAAAAAATCAGATAAAATCTGATTTTTAGTATTTCAAAAAATATGCTCAAATAATTAAAATATTAATCAAAACGAAACATATAACTGATATAGCGAAGTAATAATACTGCTAACAAGGATAACTCCAATAGTTACTAGTCAAAATAAGTTGCACAAATGTTGTTTAATTTTTCCCTCTTTGGGCCCCGTCTCTACCTACTAGCTACAACATCAGGGTCGGATTCAAGAGGAGGTGAGATGGAATAAATGTCTCGTAATTCTTGAAAAATAATACCATGGAAGTTGCTAAAAATGTAATTTTGAAGTCTATATTATAGAGAACAAACCTACCACATCCCAAAAAAAAAAATACATGTAAATAATCATTAATGCATTATAATTTGGAGATAAAAAAAGAACGAAAATAAAATCATTAGATTCATCAAATAATATTTTTACTTTTTGGATTTTTGAGTGAGGAAGATAAAAGGTGGCCACATGAAAGATGAAATTCATTTAACATGCGAAAATGTTAATGAGACCCATGATATAATTATAGCAGACCCCTGTCACTCCCTATACTTTCCATGTTAAATTCTGGCTCAAATCTCAATGACCTCGGCACCTCTTCTCTATTGGTCTGGGGTATTTTTGACAAGTCTGGGGTCACCAATCAGCACGTTGGTTGCTGTCACATGAAGAAAAAGGACATCGAAAAGTAAAAAATATTCAGATTTTAAGCCACTTGAAGACAAAATTAATGTGGTTATCACAAAATTTATGTTTGTTTGGTTTTTAAAATAATGTTGACGTCGATGCCTCCTCCCTATTGGTATGGAGTATTTTTGACAAGTCCGTCGTCACCAATCGGAGCGTTGGTTGCTGTCGCATGAGAAGAATGATATCTAGAAAATTGATTAGTATTTTTGCAGTTTTTCACTGTACAAACCTTCATGATGTAATTTGTATTAAAAAATACGGATCTCTAACAAAATTAGATCATAAATAAATGTTTGAACCAAAAAGAGAAATGATCAGAAAGCTAGGTTATATTAGATTAGATACATTTACCCGCGTAAAATATTTTAAATTTTCAAAGTCACAGACTTTCAGATCGATTTCAGTGCGATCTCTTGTGTTAACTATACTCTTTCAGTGCGATCTCTTGTGTTAACTATACTCTTTGCCCCTGTATTGAGGAAGCCGTAGTTATCTTCTACGAATAGATATAGCTTTTAGAGCTTCAGCTTTAACTCTAACCTTTATCTCCGTCACCTTCTTATTAGAGAATCAACAATATATACTTTATTCTACTTATTTTCTTATTATGGGGAAGTATGAGTGAAATGCATCCTTCTAACTCAAGAAGGGTATCAACTGCTCTAATATGGGCATTTTAAATACCTAGTAAGACTATGACTCAAAATCAAACAAGATCTTTAGAAGTTGAATGATGTGTAGGTGCAGGTCTGTTAGATATGTTAAATAAAAAAAACTAATATCCTCTATAAATAAAAAAACAGTATATTATTTTAAATAAAAAAAAAAAATAATATTTTAATTAACTTGACGCTCTCTGCATAACATTTAAATGTGTTAGTAATAAGCAGAAGACCTGCGGTACTATATATAATTATAGTACCAAAATCATTAAAATAAAATCGGAATTAAAATCCAGCATACAAAATGTAAATATCAAAAAAGATGACAGAAAATGTGTCCAAGCAACGCGGATTCATAAGTTTTTCTCTCGAAACATTTTTTTAGAACGCTAAATATGAACGACTTTAGTTTTCTGGATTTGTACAAACATGTCAATAACAAGGAAGTAGTGATTGCGAAACCAGCTGCCATACATGAATATATTTATATGTATTAAAATCAAAGAAACTTGATAAACACTGTTGACAACAAGCATTATTTTAAAAACCGAATAAATGGCAATTTATAATTTAAAAATCGATTCAAAGATGCTGGCACGTTGAACAACCATATGTAGGTTTAATTACATAAATTAACTCTACAAAGAAAGAATATGTATACACCTTTCTACATACATTTAATTAGTCTTTTTTATGTTACTTTTATAGAACACTTCTACTTTCTCAATGAACTCATTCACTCACTCACTAGGCATTTTGCATTTTGCTTTTCTTGTTACTGATAATCGACTAAAACCCAGTCAAGTGTATCAACGAACTGGTTCGAGAATAAGGATCTAACCTAGCCCATTTTAATTGTAAATCTTATCTAGTAATAAAGATTTTTACGATTGTAATATGGACTTGTCAAATAATAGTTATGAGATATTTTGTTATTATTATGTGACTTGCTCATGGTTACACAAAGGAAAAAGAGCGTTATTATACCTTTTTAAACAACGAATTTTGGTCTCCACGAAAAAAAATATTATTTTACAAGATTTTTTTAGACAATGATAATAATTTTCATCTAGATGAAGAAAGTAAAAAAATTGAATGATATTTTAACTTTCAAACCAACTAACACTATAGGCTATTTTCATAATCAAATTAAAGTAGGCTTCGTTATTAAAAGGACACTTCAGAAAAAAGTGCACTTTAAGGCTTAATTCAATTAAATACCAGTTTTTGCTCTTTTAGAAGCTTAAAGCGTGCTTTAACAACTGATTTTTGACGTTTTGAAGTCATCGCGCAATTGATGTTGTTTGTTTTGGTGTGATTAAACAAAAAATATAACTTTGATTATATTTACATTTTTCTTTTCTTTATTACTATTGTCGCGTTATGACCTATGTAATTAGGGTGACATTAAATACAATTTTAAAAAACATGTCACTTATTCAATTTTTTTTTCTTACAATAAAAGGTGAAGTTTTTATATAACATACGAAATGAGTTAAAAGATACGACAAAGCCCATGAAAAATGATTGTTAACTAAAATATTTGCAATAGTAGTTTGTGCAAGAATAGTTGATATGATGACCTAATCGCACGAAGACAAGGTTTGAGCACGACGTCGTAGGCCGTGTGTTCAATCGGCTGAGTGCGATACGTACAATCCACTCGAGTTGTACAGAATATTTTATTTACGACTCGCTAACGAAAATCTACAAATTTAAAAAAAAATCTTAAATAAAATAATTTACAATCTGCATAACACTTTCTGTCGATTAAAAATTTTAATTCTTTCTAAGAAAGTTTAGGGGTACTTAAATTGATCTTGAATTGTAAATATTTTCTACCTGTAGAGATTACATACCTTATTTTTACTGATTAAGGGTGAGATTACAGAACGTCTGCAGCTTTGCAGATCTGCAAATATGGCGGCAACTTTGCAAATCTGCAAATATGACTGACTTACACATGCAAGTATCAAGTTTTCGTATTCCAAATTTGGGTTTAGTGTTGTTGGGGGTAATAAACCACAATAAATATTGCGAATTTGCAGATATTTTTGGAATACTTGCATTTGTAAGTCCGCCATATTTGCAGATCTGCAAAGTTGCAGACGTTCTATAATCTCACCCTAAAATGACTAGAAAATTTATATTAAATATTGATCGATTAAATATTCACTGGCACCAGGAAGATGGAACAGTGTTTCCGAAACATATGTAGTGCCTGTGCTTAAATTTTATATAAAAAAAAAAACTATTGACCGAATAAACCAGTGAACTTTTTATTTATATAAAATTATACTACGGTCAGGAAATTATCCTTATTGAAATAAATTGGTATTTTTAAAAATTTTAGGAAGAAAATCAAAGATTTTTAATTTTATTTTAGAAATTCTCCGTCACTGATTTATGATGTTATATTGGGGTTTATCTACTGGATCATAAAAATTTTCATTCATTTTCAAATAAACTATAGCTAATATCCATGTGAGTATAGAAAAAATTATATTTTCTTACTTTTTACAAAGTTAGTAATTTACCAAAAATATATTCTTTTCGAATGAACACAAATATTTAAAATTGACGAGACAAATACAAAACTATATAAAAAACTAATAATACATTTTTCTACACCCACATGGATATTGGCTTATCTACGCCCA